TACCACCTCCAGGAAGCCCTTCCTGATAAGCCTCTTTCCTGCTATCTGATTGTCTCTCACTTCTCACTGTAATTGATCTCTCTGTGGGTCCTCAGCAAGAGTTTGCTGATCCTGAGTGTTTATCTTAGGGTTCCTCAAACTTTTTAAACAGGGGGCCAGTTCACTGTCCCTCAGACTGTTGGAGGGTCGGACTGCGGGCCCCAGGACAAGTCGGCTGCTAAGCAGGACAGGCAGTGGTGCTAAAAACACCCCGGGGGGGCAGATAAACATCCTTGGCAGGCCGCATGTGGCCTGTGGGATGTAGTTTGAGGACTCCTAGTTTATCCAATAGAGCCTGATGAGTTTGGAAGCTTCCCCTTCAAATAATCTCACAGCATTTGAAGGCAGCTCCCAAGTTAGACACAGAGAGGAGGTGAGTTGCTGCAGTGGGAGCAGACAAGGTTCCCCTAGACTTGGCTGGGCTGGAAGCTCTCATGCACCCCCCCCCCCATTCCTTTAGGAAACTCTTTCCTTAAGTGACCAGTAGAAGTCCTCAGCTGGCGGCTATTCTGTCCCCAGAGGATGCTGGGCAACGTCTGGGGACATCGATGATTGTTAAGACTGGGGGGACCTCCCAGAATGGAGGTATGAGGCCAGGGATGTTGCTCAGCACCCTGCAGGGCCCAGGATGGCCCCAGCAGAGAATGATCCAGGCCTGAATTTTTTTTATTATTATTTTTGTAGAGATGGGGGTCTCACTCTGGCTCAGGCTGGTCTTGAATTCCTGAGCTCAGTGTAATCCACCTGCCTCAGCCTCCCAGAGTGCTAGGATTACAGGGGTGAGCCACTGCGCCCGGCCCCAGGCCTGAATGTTGACAGTGGGAATTAATTTCTGTGTCAACACCCACATAGTGAATGCTCAATAACCTAGATGTAATAGCCAGCCTCTGGGTGTTGTAAGAAATCTTGAACGGGTTCTGGGTCTGGCTCCAGGGTTTATAGTCTGTAGGAGTGGCATGAGGCACAGAGAAATGTTTCTCATCAGGGTCCTCCCACTTGCCTGTGCCCCTGCTGCCCCTCTGCATGACAGGAAAGTGCCCTTACATCCCCGCCCAGAGCTGAGATCCCTCAGGAACCCTGAGACCCTCTCAGTGACTTCCCTGAACACTAGCTCCTGACCTTATACACATCTCTCTTTGGCTGCTCTGTTTTTTTTTTTTTTTTACCAAGAAGCTCCTTTTTTTTTTTGTTTCTACCCACAACAATTTCCAAGTAAAGCCTGGCTTGGCAGCAACTGTACAGCCCTGCTAGTGCAGATAGGGCCCTCCCTGCCCAAAGTCTTGGACTCCAGGCTTCCATGGGTTCCATGTGGCCTACAAAGGCCTGGATGTGGCCCAGATTTCCTCCCTGGAGATGAGTCCAGCAGTGGAGAAGCTCTTAGACACCCAACTAGACCAGGCTCTGCACCAGCTCACGGCCACACAGTCTGGCCCCACCCTCACCCCACCCCCATGCTAGGAGTCAAGTTGTGACTTCTGCCACTTTCTGGCTTGAGTTTTTTCCGGGTAAACAAAGTGTGACCTAGTGACCAAGAGTCAGCCATTGGCAGCTCCAGATTCCAAACGCTCAGTCCCCAATCAAGCCCCAGGGAGCTACTAAGAGGTCAAAAAACAGATTATGAAACCTGGAGGTGTTTCTAGCCTTAAGAAACAGGCCTGGCTCAGCACCTATAGCTCAACCGGCTAAGGCACCAGCTGCGTACACCTAAGGTGGCGTGGTTCAAATCCCCAGCCCGGACCGCCAAACAACAATGACGGCTGCAACCAAAAAATAGCTCGGCGTTGTGGCGGGCGCCTGTGGTCCCAGCTACTTGGGAGGCGGAGGCAGGAGACTCGTTTGAGCCCAGGAGTTGGAGGTTGCTGTGAGCTATAATGCCAC